GTAAAAACAGGCAGTTGTTTTCAAACTCCTTTTCAAAGTTGGAACAGTTCAGGAGAACACACAACAACAGCTGAAAACGGCAGATAATACCTAATATGTATTCAAAAATTATACAATCATAAGATAAATGTTTTCTTTGAACCTGAAAGAAAACAATGATAATTTTACATATAGAGACTGCTAGCGCATGGAAAAGTTCTCAGAGGGGTAGAAAGCTACTGATATTGTAGATATACATGTACAAAATAATAGGGCATAGACACAAGGGGACTTAGGATATAAATGCACCCAATTTAAACAAAAAACCCAAAAGGAAAAGAAAGAAGTGTTAATAGTTTCAGCTGCTCTTCCTTTGCAGGTCATTCTTTAAGCTAATTTCACCAAGGTATGCACTGTCCATCACTAGAAACTTCTAAATCAAAATGAGTCTAAAGGCTTTACTTCAAAAGATTTAATTCAAGGGACTCCTCTGACCAACATGATGCAAGAGGTCAGACCGAGTGGCCAGAACGCTCCTTTGCTGCCTTTATAATCTGGTAATCTATGGATAATGTGAGAGCCCCATGAACCACAGCAATAATGATCTCATTCTCAGCACCAGAGGAAACAAAAGTTCACAATGAAATTAATAGTACTGGAAACCTAAAACCCAAAATACCAAAACAAGCATGCATTTGTCCTTCAGATAGACCTACATTTTACATATTCCAGTAATCCTAAAGTACTTATATGTTGCAAAATCCCCTTGGTTTTCAATATTAACATTTAGCAGGAGGCAAAACCGCCATTTGCCAAAGTTAGATACAGAGATGCAGGAATAAATTGTGGAAGATGCTTTTAAAATAACAATTATCATTTACAATAGAGTTGTTCCCCCTCAAAAAAAAAAAAAAAAATAAAAAAAAATCTTTATTTTCGTGTCTGACAGTCTACAATAATCAGGAAACCTTCAAACAGATTACTTCATGTGACCATGTCAAAATTCTGCCACTGCACAGCAGGTTGTATCTGGGAGCTACAGGCACATACAGCAGCACGGAGAAGGCAAACACCCTAGCATTTATTTGATTTAGTTAGTTAGTTTCCGTAAGTTACCCTCAGAATTTTTTTTTACTTATTTTTACAAGCTTACTACAAAATCAGCCATACCACAGAAAGAGGACTAATGCCAAGGAATTGCGACTGCAAGCCACTCAGCAGAAATCTGACATCCATAAGAGCCGTGCTGTCCACTAATGAAGTGTTACTTTTTTTCAGTTGAAGCTAAAATGCTTTCTGTTTCTAACAAAAACTAAAGCCAGATCCATTAAATTTATAAAATATTTAAATATAAAGTCCCTCCCTGTACTCAACAAGAGCAATTCAGCCAGTTGCAAAAAAAGCGCAAAGTTTAATAGGAAATCTGACTGAAAAGCAAAAAAAAATTCTGAATATTAAGCCAAATTTTTCTCAAGTTCTAAATGAAATATTTATAATTTCAATGTTGCAGTTCTGGATAAGCTACATAAGAGATGGGAACTTCTCAGAAGCACTTGCAATAACATACACACGGAGATAAGACAAAAGGGAGGGTGGACGTAGAAGTGGAGTGGTACCAGGGTGAAGAACTAGTGACGGCATTTGCCTGGCCCTGAACCTGGTTTTCCACCTTTCGGTTCTACACCCAGTTCACAAACTTGCTTTTCCATATTTTCATACACCAAGTGATTTCTGATTATGACTTGCCACAATTATATCTCCACTGCTTTACAAACTTTCACCATTTTAATTAGCAATTAATTAAAATTGACTGACAGCACTAATTGTTTAAGGTAAACATTTCTCTTCCCAGTGACACTGAACTAAAACGATTAGAAAATAATAACCAGAACCAATTCTTCTGTAGAAAACTCATTTCTGATAACTCTAATAAAAGCTTTGCCTTG